CTCCGTGTGTGAAGCGGGAGCTTTAGCCACCAGACCACCGGGCCACCTGTTCACATATATGCTTCAATGTAAACACTTGATCTACACATCCCCTACCCACTCTGAAGCCTCCCTGCTCATCCGCAATCCTACATTCTGTCTTAACTCTAATTCTTTCAATCATAACCCTACCGTACACTTTTCCTGGTATACTCAGTAAACTTAATCCTCTATAATTTTTACAGCCTCTTTTGTCCCCTTTCCCTTTATATAAAGGGACTATACATGCTCTCTGCCAATCCCTAGGTACCTTCCCCTCTTTCATACATTTATTAAACAAAAGTACCAACCACTCCAACACTATATCCCCCCCTGCTTTTAACATTTCTGTCATGATCCCATCAGTAACAGCTGCTTTACCCCCCTTTCATTCTACGTATTGCCTCACGTACCTCCCCCACACTTACATTCTGCTCTTCTTCACTCCTAAAAGATGGTATACCTCCCTGACCAGTGCATGAAATTACTGCCTCTCTTTCTTCCTTAACATGAAACATGAAAATGTCTGCAAAAGCAGTTACTAACTTATCCTTAAAGCCCTTGGTAATTACTGGTAATCGTTCAGTTAGGCAAGAGATGATAAAACACTCACTTTCATTTTACCCATTTTCAAACACTTACCACACTATATAGTACATTATAAACCACAAGCAGTACTAGCGAGTTGTGAGGCACAGCTATGAGATATGGAGTTGCAACAAGTAGACCCCAAAATATTTTGAAGATTATCAGCACTTGCAAATGTCAAAATCTGATGACTTATAAAACTTTACAATACATAACTTTGAACACCTTTTGCTTCTGCCTTGAGTATTATTGCCAAGCTTTCATCTACTGAAGAATCAGGCTCTGAATCTTTGTTTTAAAACATATTTGGAGGTTACAATGGATGGGTATATAGTGTTTGGTTACAGTTTGAATACAATTATAAAACAATTACAATTGGATACAATTATATTGCAACTACAATTGGATACAATTATATTACAATTACAGTTGGATACAATTATATTACAATTATAGTTGGATACAACTATATTACAATTGGATACAATTACAACTGTAGGTTCAAAGAGAGCCACATATTATGCAGAGAAGTTTGGGCAAACTAATTCTAAACTTAAAAAATACTCAATCCTAATCCTAGAATATATATTTAGGCACTGTGTGACAGTAGAGCATAAGTACTTTTAGCAAAGCATATGATGGTTGAGATTAAAATATAAGGTAGTAATAGTTAAAAATCAATATAGAGTAGAAAAAAACAGGCTGTAATTGATATATTGGACAATTATAGATACAGCAATTTATGATAAATTTATATCAGACCAATGATGTGTTTTAGTGAGTGGCAGAATTACAGTAATGACAATAATGCAGGAGATCTGCAATCATATACATGATATAACATTTACATCAGATTTAATTCATACTTTTTAACAATGTTAATGAAGTAACTGGGAAAATAGTGAGCTTTCAATGCATCTTTAGGCAGAGTGCTCCATATTTCTGGGTCTTTTATTGGCATGGAGTTTCTAGATGGTTTAAGCTGTACATGTGGTATATCAAACAGACACTGTACTTGTTTCTTATACAGTAGGGCCCCACTTCAACGGCAGAATAGGTTCTAGGCTACCGCCGGAAAATGAACATCGACGGAAAGAAGAGAGAACAGAGATGCAGAAGATGTAAACAAACAGATGAATGCGTCTGGTTATGATTAATACATATTCATCTATATTATGTTTACATGTTACATAACATGTTTGTTATATAATTTTGGAAAAACATAGTAGGTGGATTAATGAAAAATTTTATATTAACGTAATAAACGACATTCAATGTGCCTCAGAGTGATTATTATTGCGTATTATTATCATTATTAATATGGCGTCCTCAAGACTAATAAGACACTCTTAGTAATTTTAATGTCTATCTGCACGCCAGCACAGTGTGTAAGTTTAATTAGGTACAGGTACACATAAGTATAATTATCAGAGTATACAGTAGACCATCAATTAAGACGGTAGCTAGGTTCCTGAAAATGCAGTGTTAGACGAATCTGTGTTAAGGGAATTTAAGAACTCATGGGACCCCCAAAAAAGCCAAACAACTTTCTTTTTTTAGGTCACCAAATCTTTTTATTTATTTTTAACACATCGGCTGATTCCCACGAAGGCAGGGTGGCCCGAAAAAGAAAAACTTTCATCATCATTCACTCCATCACTGTCTTGCCAGAGGGGTGCTTTACACTACAGTTATAAAACTGCAACATTAACACCCCTCCTTCAGAGTGTAGACACTGTACTTCCCATTTCCAGGACTCAAGTCCAGCCTGCTGGTTTCCCTGAATCCCTTCATAGATGCTACTTTGCTCACACTCCAACAGCACGTCAAGTATTAAAAACCATTTGTCTCCATTCACTCCTATCAAATATGCTCATGCACGCTTGCTGGAAGTCCAAGCCCCTCGCACACAAAACCTCCATTATCCCCTCCCTCCAACCCTTCCTAGGCCGAACCCTACCCCGCCTTCCCTCCACTACAGATTTATACGCTCTCAAAGTCATTCTGTTTTGTTCCATTCTCTCTACATGTCCGAACCACCTCAACAACCCCTCCTCAGCCCTCTGGATAATAGTTTTGGTAATCCCACACCTTCTCCTAATTTCCGAACTACGAATTCTCTTCGTTATATTCACACCACACATTGCCCTCAGACATGACATCTCCACTGCCTCCAGTCTTCTCCTCATTGCAACATTCATCACCCATGCTTCACACCCATATACACCACTATACTCTCATACATTCCCCTTTTAGGTTCCATGGACAAAGTTCTTTGTCTCCACAGACTCCTAAGTGCACCACTCACCCTTTTTCCCTCATCAATTCGGTGATTCACTTCATCCTTCATAGACCCATCTGCTGACACGTCCACTCCCAAATATCTGAATACATTCACCTCCTCCATACTCTCTCCCTCCAATCTGATATCCAGTCTTTCATCACCTAATCTTTTTGTTATCCTCATAACCTTACTCTTTCCTATATTTTCTTCTTTTACATACCCTACCAAACTCATCAACCAACCTCTGCAACTTCTCTTTAGAATCTTCCAAAAGCAGTGTCATCAGCAAAGAGCAACTGTGACAACTTCCACTTTGTGCTAGATTCTTTATCTTTTAACACTACACCTCTTGCCAACACCTGAGCATTCACTTCTCTTACAACTCCATCAATAAATACAGTGGACCCCCGCATAACGATTACCTCCGAATGTGACCAATTATGTAAGTGTATTTATGTAAGTGCGTTTGTACGTGTATGTTTGGGGGTCTGAAATGGACTAATCTACTTCACAATATTTCTTATGAGAACAAATTCGGTCAGTACTGGCACCTGAACATACTTTTGGAGTGAAAAAATATCGTTAACCGGGGGTCCACTGTATAGTGAACAGCCATGGTGACATCACACATCTCTGTCTAAGGCCTACTTTTACTGGGAAATAATCTCCCTCTTGCCTGCATACTCTAACCTGAGCTTCACTATCTTTGTAAAGACTCTTCACTGCTTTCAATAACCTACCTCCTATTCCATACATTTGCAACAAGTCAATCTCTTTCCAAGTTTGACATTAACTGTTTCACTGTCTTACATAGATTTATGCCACTGATGCCAGGGTTGTTTATGTAGGTCTACCTTTTGAGCTCGGCTTCCTCAGATAAGCCATGAGTGGTAAATTTTGGCCTAGATATGAGAGAATGGATCTGTGCAGCAAGGCCTCATCACGTCAAAGGAAGAACTGATACAGAGTGCATTTATGGCCCAAAGAGCCAGTAAAGCATTTAGATTACTGAGAATGCCTAAATGTACTCAAGGAAACATGATAATATATATGTGGAAAATACTTGAGGATCTAGTTCCCATCTGCTGGAGTGACATATGGGAGAAAGTGTAAAATAAACCCAGTTTATGACAGGGGCACCAAGGGCACAATATGAGAGCATTATAACATCTGCAGCCCCAAACTATTCAACTTCTTACCAGAAGGTATCAGAAACACTGAAGGAACAAGTGTAGAAGTCTTCAAGAGGAAACTGCACACGTATCTCCACCAAGTACCGAATCAACCAGGCTGTGATGGGTATGTGGGCCAGCAGGCTACCAACAGAAACAGCTTGGTTGATCAGTCAAACACCAGACAAGCCTGGCCCAAGTCTGGGTTTTGGAGTGGAAAAAACTCAAAAGGTACCAGTACAGCCTCTCCTCATTTAGTGATGTATTCGCTTACTGACAATGCAGACTTACAATGGGCTCTGACCAGTATACATACCTAAATGTATATTATAGCTGATTTCCTCTATTCTGTATAGTACAGTACACTACTGTATAAGCATTTAAAAATATACCAGAGATGTTATAAGTGGTGCAAAGGTGACATTAAAACAATATCAAGGATGGCTGACAAACCCACTACCATTATAGTGTGTTCCTCACTTAACAACGAATTCGTTCACCATGGTCCTAGGAACGGAACTCTGCCGTTAAGTGAGGAGAGGCTGTATATCAGAGGTATATCATGGAGCCTGAAAAAGATTTTACTAGTTTCAAGTGGTACTTTCATACATCAATCACTTCTACATAAAACTCTTTGGCGAAGTTTACACTAAGCAGCAACAAAAACTATGAAATTATGATGTGCAAAAACATTCATACCTATATTAAAAAAAAAAAAAAAAAAAAAAAATTACTGTGTTTGGATTCATTATTTTCAAATGTATTGTTCAGAATGGCATGAAATTTTATATTTAAGATAACCCAATAGCACTGATGTTCCATAGAAGTTTTAGCAAATTCAATTGGTGCTTAAAAAAAAAATTAGGCTGAATACTCCCTTAAGTTAATTAAATACAAGTAAATTACTGTACTATACTACAGAGGAAAAATTATCATACCTGAGTACAAGCGCCGGGGAGAAGGCGTACTGTCAAAAATTATTCCCTTGACTGAGATATTAGGAGCATCAGGCTCTGTAAAAGCCTTTGTCATAGAATAATAAAGGATGGACCCATTGTTACTGAAAATGTGGAAGAATACTGGATGATCATCCAAACTCATGTCTCTCAGTAAGGCTAGCAGTTTACGAGCAATGGGGTTCCTTGCTCCTGGTCTTGCAAACATATATGATAATGGGGATGTGTACCGGATTGTAATACATCTGTGGAAAAGATGGTTAAGTAAGTGGTGTACAAATAGTGATAATACAATTTCTGAAAAGTGATAAAACAACAGCAAAGTGAATTACATTGCGTTATCTAAAAATCTTGTACAAAAATCAAGAGCGTCATAAAGAAATTGCAAGTAAACTAACCACATTTTACTCTGGTTACTGTCCTGTAATCAAAGCTATACTTGAAAACTTCATATATGGAGTGAACAACTCGTGCGGAAAAATGAAGTTACATTCTTGACAACTTGAAAAAAGACAAGTATTTTTTTAATTTTAAATTTGTCTAAAAATAATAAAATAAATATTTTATAAAAATCCAGCAGGCATACAGATGTTATGGATATGCAAAAACATCTTTCAACAAACTGGCCGTATCCCACCGAGGCAGGGTGACCCAAAAAGAAAAAACAAAAGTTTCTCTTTTTAACTTTAGTAATGTATACAGGAGAAGGGGTTACTAGCCCCTTGCTCTCGGCATTTTAGCCTCCTTTTACGACACACATGGCTTACAGAGGAAGAATTCTATTCCACTTCCCAAGGAGATACAAGGAAATAAACAAGAACAAGAATTAGTAAGAAAATAGAAGAAAACCCAGAGGAGTGCATATACATATGCTTGTACATGCATGTGTAGTGTGACCTAAGTGTAAGTAAAAGTAGTGAGACGTACCTGATATCTTGCATGTTTATGAGACAGATAAAAGACACCAGCAATCCTACCATCATGTAAAACAATTACAGGCTCTCATTTTACACTCACTTGGCAGGACGGTAGTACCTCCCTGGGTGGTTGCTGTCTACCAACCTACTACCTAGAACACAAAAACATATGTATACAGTATTGTATATTATGTAGAGTTAACCTAAGATGACTTAACCTAAGATGACTCTTAAGCCAATGGGAATATTTGTTTCCTTAAATTCTGGCAGTTGATGCATGATGGGTTTGATGTCAGTGAAAAGGGCTGTTATGACCCTACTACCTGGAGTTTACCTGGAGAGGGTTTCGGGGGTCACCGCCCCCGTGGCCTGGTCCAAGACCAGGCCTCATAGTGGATCAGGGTCTGATGAACCAGGCTGTTACTACTAGGCAAAACATCAATAAAAGATACTAAACTGTGTCTTACTTTGTAAAGAACCATTCTAAAGACAGTGTACAGAAGCAAGGACAAAATATTAAATACTATACTTCAAAAATCATTAGAATGTTCCCTTGCTGGATGTACCTCCTTTTAATCATAGGAGACGTATGTATTAAGTAGCTAAATTATTGATCTCCAAAGCATATCAGTGTTGTATACCAGAAGAGTTACAAGGAATGATGAAAACAAACACAACAATAAGCATTATGACAGAATAAGCCGAGTCAAGAAAATTTATGTTTATAAAATATTAACAATATGAGTCATGGTTCACTTTCACTCATTGTAGATTCTTTAGTTCTATTTTTAATTAATAATATCCAATAGTAATTCTAGGTAGTAGGCTGGTAGACAGCAACCACCCAGGGAGGTACTACCATCCTGCCAAGCGAGTGCAAAATGAAAGCCTGTACAGTGGACCCCCGGTATTCGATATTAATCCGTTCCTGAGAGCTCATCAAATACCGATAATATCGAAAACCGAATCAATTTTCCTCATAAGAAATAATGGAAATCAAATTAATCCGTGCAAGACACCCAAAAGTATGAAAAAAAAAAATTTACTACATGAAATATTAAGTTTAATGCAATAGAATAATTACAATAACAATAAAATAATTGACACTTACCTTTAATGAAGATCTGGTGATGATTGATGGGATGGGAGGAGGGGAGAGGTGTTAGTGTTTAGAAGGGGAATCCCCTTCCATTAGGACTTGAGGTAGCAAGTCCTTTTCCGGGGTTACTTCCCTTCTTTTAATGCCACTAGGACCAGCTTCAGAGACACTGGATTTCTGTCGCACAACATATCTGTCCATAGTGGCCTGTACCTCCCGTTCCTTTATGACATTCCTAAAGTGTTTCACAACATTGTTAGTGTAATAGTCACCAGCACGGCTTGCAATAGCTGTGTTAGGGTGATTGTCATCAAAAAAGGTTTGCACTTTAAGCCACATTGCACACATTTCCTTAATCTTTGAAGTAGGCAACTTCTTCAATTTCTTTATCCCCTCCTCCGAAGCAGTTTCCTCAAGTGTGGCCTCTTGCTGTTGAAGATGATCTATCAGCTCATCAGTGGTTAGTTCTTCACTGTCCTCCTCCACCAACTCTTCCACATCCTCCCCACTAACCTCCAACCCCAAGGACTTCCCCAATGCCACAATGGATTCCTCAACTGGCATAGGATTCTCAGGGTTAGCCTCAAATCCTTCAAAATCCCTTTTGGCTACACATTCTGGCCACAGTTTTTTCCAAGCAGAGTTCAAGGTCCTCCTAGTCACTCCCTCCCAAGCCGTACCTATAAGGTTTATACAATTGAGGATATTAAAGTGATCCTTCCAAAACTCTTTTAGTCAGTTGAGTTTCTGTGGTCACTATAAAGCACTTTTGAAACATAGCTTTTGTGTACAGTTTCTTGAAGTTGGAAATGACCTGCTGGTCCATGGGCTGCAGGAGAGGAGTGGTATTAGGAGGCAAAAACTTGACCTTAATGAAGCTCATGTCCCCAGAAAGTCGCTCTGCCAAGTCTGTAGGATGACCAGGGGCATTGTCTAATACCAGGAGGCACTTAAGGTCTAATTTCTTATTCAGTTAGGTAATTTTTCACAGTGGGGGCAAATGCTTGGTGTAACCAGTCAGAAAAAGTCCCTAGTGACCCATGCCTTACTGTTTGCCCTCTACAGCACACACAAATTAGCCTTGAGGACATTGTTTTTCCTGAACACTCTGGGAGTTTCAGAGTGATACACCAATAAAGGCTTCACTTTGCAATCACCACTAGCATTGGCACACATGAGAAGAGTAAGCCTGTCTTTCATAGGCTTATGTCCTGGGAGTGCCTTTTCCTCCTGAGTAATGTAGGTCCTGCTTGGCATTTTCTTCCAAAACAGGCCTGTTTCGTTGCAATTAAACACTTGTTCAGGTTTCAGTCCTTCACTGTCCATGTAATCTTTGAATTCCTTCACATATTTTTCAGCTGCTTTTTGGTCTGAACTGGCAGCCTCACCATGCCTAATCGCACTATGTATGCCACAACGATTCTTAAATCTTTCAAACCAACCTTTGCTGGCCTTAAATTCACTCACATCACCACTAGTTGCAGGCAATTTCTTTACCAAATCGTCATGCAACTGCCTAGCCTTTTCACAAATGATCGCTTGAGAGATGCTATCTCCTGCTATCTGTTTTTCATTTATCCACACCAATAACAATCTCTCAATATTTTCTAACACTTGAGGTGGCTGTTTCGTAATCACAGTTGCACCTTTTGCAAGAACAGCTTCCTTGGTTGCCGTTTTCCTGGTCACTATAGTAGAGATGGTTGATTGGGGTTTATTATACAACCTAACCAGCTCCGACACACGCACTCCACCTTCGTACTTTGCAATTATCTCTTTCTTCATTTCAGAAGTCATTAGCAACTTTTTTCTCGAAGGGTTGGCACTAGAAGCTTTCTTGGGGCCCATGGTGACTTATTTTGCAGAAACAAGCACCAAACACAGCGATAATACGGATAATATGGAATGTACCGAATGTATCCTTAGATGCACGCACACTGGCTGGCTTGTAAACACTGGCACACACGGGGCAGTTCAGGCCACATGTGGACATGTCTTGTACGAATCGTATCGAATACTGGATTTTCAATCGAATACCGAGGAAATTTTTTTGCGATATAATGCATCGAATACCGGATTTATCGAATACCGATGCCATCGAATACCGGGGGTCCACTGTAATTGTTTTACATGATGGTAGGATTGCTGGTGTCCATTTTTCTGTCTCATGAAAATGCAAGGTTTCAGGTATGTCTTGCTACTTCTACTTACACTTAGGTCACACTACACATACATGTACAAGCATATATATACATACATACCCCTCTGGGTTTTCTTCTATTTTCTTTCGAGTTCTTGTTCTTGTTTATTTCCTCTTATCTCCATGAGGAAGTGGAACAGAATTCTTCCTCCGTAAGCCATGCGTGTCGTAAGAGGCAACTAAAATGCCAGGAGCAAGGGGGCTAGTAACCCCTTCTCCTAAGTGTAAAAGGAGAAACTTTCGTTTTTTTTCTTTTGGGCCACCCCCGCCTTGGTGGGATATGGCCGGTGTGTTGAAAGAAAGTTCCAATAGTAATAAGATATTGCTTCAACATGTATTACAAGTTGAAATTGAACAGTTCCATAATCTTAACTTTCAACAATATCATGTGCCTGGTGGGTAGAGATGGCATGGTTAATATATATACATGTATATGGTATATGAAAAGGAATGTAAACACATGCATTTACACATACATAAATACTATATTATACTATATAGGCAAGTTAGTACGTGATAATTCTGCCATGATCCAAGTTATAGGCCAGAAGTACAGAAACTCACCCTTTCTGATTATATATGCTGCAGTACTTTGCCAAGTGGTTATCTTGAGCACCGAGCCAACCTAAGAGGAACACCACTGGTTCTTTTTCACCATTTGCTCCATTGATAAAAACAAAATCATCTTCATCAGTATCTCTGTGGAGATTATTTCATATAGAGTGGTTATATTTGCAGTTATTGTAATACATGTGAATTAGGTTGTTATATATATTTCTTTATAATGTTTGCAAAAAATTATATATATTTCTTTCAACACTGGCTATCTTCCACTGAGACAGGGTAACCAAAAATAACTAACTCATTTGCCATCACTCATTCAGGTGGTGTCTTGCCAGAAATGTGCAAACATTCCATTTCAAATAACTCTGAACTACAACATTCCCACCCTTGCTCCCGAGTACTGGTGCCGTACCTCCCACTTCTAGGACTCAAGTCCCACTAATAACAAAAAAAAAAAAAAAAAAAAAAAAGGCACAATACCGTGACTGGAATGATACACAAATAACCCGCACATAGAAGAGAGGAGCTTACGGCGACGTTTCGGTCCGACTTGGACTGTTTACAAAGTCCCACTAACCAGCATCCCTGAATCTCTAAGTTATCTTGTTTACATTCAACATCACATCATGCCATAAATACCACTTTTCTCCACTCATTCCAATCTAACATGCTCACACAGGTGTGTGGGATAATCAAGCCCCTAGCACTCAAGAGCTCCTTTACCCTCCTCCCTCAAACCTGTATTAGGATGACCACTGCTGCTCCATCCTTCCACCCTAGTTTTTACACCCTCTTGATCATCTTAGCTTGCTCCATCCTTGGCAACCTCTCCTTAGCCTTCTAAATTATACCTTTCATAACCTCACGCTGCCTTTTAATTTCTATGCTCCAAAATCTCTGCATAATACTCATACCACACACTACTCTCATACTCTTATTATGTATCAGATTCATTATCTTTTAATCCCACAACTCTCCCAAACACCCTAGCATTCACATCTTTTACAACCCAATCTCTAAACATGTTAACCATGGTAACACCACACACCCCTGTCTAAGGCCTACTTTTACTGGAAAATGGTGCCCCTTTCTCTTACATACCCAGACATGAGAGAGACTATCAGTATAAAAATTCTTTACTGCTTTTAGTAACCTACCTAATTCATACATTTGCAACGTATGCTAAAATGCTTCCCTATCCACCCAATTATTTGCATTTTCTAAATCCATAAATGTGACAAACAATTCCTTCCCTTTGTCTAGGTATTGTTCACTTATATGCTTCAGTGTTAACACTTGGTCTACACATCTAGCCTTCCTAAATCCTCCCTGTTCCTCTACAGCCCTACTTTCTGCCTTACCCTTTAAACTCTTTCATTAATTATTCTACAATACAATTTGCCTTGTATACTCGCCAGGATTATTCCTCTATTATGCTTACATCCTCTCTCCTGGCCCCTTTTCCTTTAAAGAAACTATGTATACCCTCTGTCGTACATCTACTGAACAAATACACTAACCACTCCAAAACTATACCACCACCTACTTTTAATATATCTATCTTAATCTCATCTGTCCCAGTTAGTTTATTCTCTCATTACACCCACTTCCTCATATCTATTTCTAATAATGTAGTCTTCTTCTTTCAACGTACCAGCCATATCCCACCGAGGTGGGGTGGCCCAAAAGGAAAAACGAAAGTTTCTCCCTTAAAATTTAGTAATATATACAGGAGAAGGTGTTACTAGCCCCTTGCTCCCAGCATTTTAGTCACCTCTTACAACAAGCATGGCTTACGGAGGAAGAATTCTGTTCCACTTCCCCATGGAGAAATAATGTATAGTCACATACATAAAAACATTTCCAGTGACTCTTCTCAGCTGTATAAACATGTATTGCTGTAAAACAAATATAGATCAAAAGACAGTAGGAAGACTTTTTCCCTCTAAAAATCAGCCAAACAAAATCTAACAATTTAAAATTCCATCATATGTAACATTACATACATACATACAAGGAGAAAAAGACACACAGAAACAAACATACATATGTTCATGCTTCATCTCTGAAAATCACTTAAAGAAATACCATCTTGTGTTCGAGGTCAGGGAGAACTTTACACAACGAAAATTTTGACCACTTTGAGACCTATTTTAGATCAATTGAAGAGCTCAAACCTACCCAATTCCCAGCTATTTAGCTAGTATGTCTTACTATCTATTGATCACAAGAAGGTACCCTTTCAACCATCAGAACAACCCTATAAAGCACACAGATTTTGGTAATTTGGCCGTTATATTATTTTCAGCAAATTCCAATTCTAAAACAGTCCAAAACAAACACTACAGGCATTCCAGACACTAGTGCAATCTTCCCTCTATTTATTAACCATGGTTCCCAGGCTCTCCTGTATATAACACTTGCCCTACATTGTGAATTCATCACCAAACAAAATTCTATTTTGTTTGGCTCACTCCTACATGCAAAGCCTTGTATGAAACAATTTACTTTCCTTGCAAACTATTTTATTAGTGTACCAATCCTTCATATTATACAAATATACAGAGCAATTTTGTAATTAATTAATAGATGTGGAAAGTATAGATACTAACCTTGCACTGGTTCGCTTGTGTGTTTCCTTTGGGGTGGGTGTTGGGAAGGTTATAAAGTATTCCAAGTCATCCTCCATTTTCCCTCTTTTTAAGCCTGTGACTCTCTTTATGTAGTCAGAGTTGCACTGGAAGCAGACTTTCCAAAGTGGATTAGCAAATCTATCTGTGCGAGTATAATGTAATGAGCAACCAGAGCTCACTCTCGGATGATAGCAAGTTGCTGTTATTGTGGGAGACAATGAACGTGAAACTGCTGTGATACCTGAAAAGTTGAAAGGCCACATAATAATTTTTTTTTAAAATGTATCTTATAATGTGAAACAGTACATAAACATTTTATGGGTATGAACCGCAAGCCAGAAAAAGGCTTCCGTCAAAAGAGAGACAGACTCGCAACAAGTTATTTTTGTATAAATAAAACTCCTCCTTTAGTGCTATCTGACCAAAATGCTTCACTGTAAAAAGTGTCAGACCAAAATACAGTGGAATCTCAAATTTCGAACTTAATCTGTTCCAGGGGCTAGTTCTAAATTTGAAAAGTTTGAAAAGCAAAGCAATATTTCCCGTAAGAAATAATGAAAATACAATTAATCCGTTCCAACCCCTCCCCCCCCCCCAAAAAAAAAAAAAAATTAGAGATTAATTATAGTTTTACACACACAACAAATATAGTGTACAATTATCTATTAATAAATTTAAATAAACATAAAATAACATTTTTACTTACCTATATTGAAGATTGGTGATGGCATCTGGAAGATAGGGAGGAGGAGAGAGGGAGTTGGGGGTTAGTGTTTGGAAGGGAAATCCCCCTCCATGAGGACTTTAGGTATCAAAGCCCTTTCTGGGGTTACTTCCCTTCTCTGTGTTTTAATGCCCCTAGGACCAGCTTGAGAGTCACTGGACCCCTGTCTAACAAAATAACTATCCACAATCCTGTTTCTAGTGCCTCTAAGATTTCCCTAAAATGGGACATGGTTCTGTCACTGAACTTGTTGAAAAGATGGCTTGTTTCAGCTTGCTCAGGGTGGTACTTCTCCACAAACATTTGAACCTCATTCCACTTAGTGCAAATCTCCTTAATCTTTGAATCAGCATGCAACTTCCTTGCCTTTTCACAAATAATCGTCTCTGAAACACTATCACCTGCCATCTCTTTATCCTTGATCTACACCAGCAACAACTTTGAACCTGATCGATTGTCTGTGGTCTTTTTTTGGTTAGCATATTAACACCTTTCACAACATCAGCTTCCTTGATTTGTTCTTTCTTTGCCAGGATAGAAGTGATGGTTGACTTGTTTTTCCCATACATCCTGGCAAGCTCAACAAGTTTCACACCACTCTCATACTTCTGTATTATTTCCTTCTTCACATCTATGGTGTTTCTCACTTTCTTTACCACAGGGGTACCACTAGCAAGTTTCTTTGGGCCCATGGTAGCTTATTTCACAGTCCCACACGCACTAAACACAATGAATTAATCGTAAAATGTTTGAATGAGACCACAGGTTAGTGTTCACTCAAGCATCAACAAAACCAGATTGGCTCACGGCGCCTGCGCGGGAACGCGGACAGAGTGGGCTGGCGGACAGGTCCGGTACCCAGCGGTTCAGAAAAAAGAGGCAAGTTTGATAATGTGGACAAAGTTGGTTCAAAAAAAATGATCGATTTTCGAAGAGTTCAATAAGCGATACGTTCGAAATTTGAGGTTCCACTGTAATGTTCTCAAATGAATTCAGATAGGTACACATATCAATATGATTTTTGAGACACAATTTAAAGCCTATTGAAATGTCACCATAAAGACAACACAGCTTCAAAATCACTTTATATGCTTTAAAATTATAAATTTATGCCATGGTTGCAATGAACACATGTATAAAGCATAAAAATGCATAGTGTTTATACAGTATCTACATGGTATAAGATCTTTTTGACAATATATTATAATCATAGTATGCAAAATGTCTTATTATTGTAGTGCACAAAGCTGTAAATTCATTTTACTGTATATCATTATCAAGCACACTGAATAGTAAGATATGAATGACAAATTTATTTGTACATGACAGTGTATTCATATCTCACACAAGATTTTGATGGTTTTAATTAATTTTTAGAGAGGGAAGATTGTAATTTCATTTAATTTTCAAACCGTGTTCACTATGTTCTTGGAGCTCATGTTCACTGTTTTAATGACTAGGCAATGGATGCAGTTTCTGGTTATGCCTGATCTGTATATGTAGCTCAGAGCTGCTAACTTAAGTGTATCCTAGCCTTAGTCTGGCTTTAGATGAAAAGACGCATCAAACAGCACAAGAATTTACTATAACAAAGTTTTACTCGACTGAAGCTTGAATCTATAAGGCTTCCCTTCAGCAAAACACTGCTAAAATAAAGACTTGTACTGTACTAATTTATATCATTTCACCAACTTTCCCTGTTCAGCTAACCCTGTTTTCCTGCTTTTGTTTATCCTGTCGAGAGTGCTTCCTACGAGTACATTACTTTTATTTTACAATGACGTTGATGATGAAATTAGTTTTCAGGGTGAGTTAACCCTTTAACTGTGTCCGACGTACTAGTACTGGTGCTGCTACAGATTAGTGATAATTTTTTCCAACAAATTCAACACACCATAAAATCATAAGTTTTTATCAGACTTTCCTCATTTTAGTCATATTTGAATCAGAAAGACAGACTTATCTATTTTTTTTTTTTCAAAATCCTCCCACAGTTAAAGGGTTAATGTGCCATACGTGGGTGTGCTCATTGTACGGTACATACTGTTATTTATCAATCTGGTTAGAATATTATTATTTCACAAAGGTAGTCTTTGCTTTATGCTTAATGAAAGATAATCTTGATAGCAGTTAAGTATATATGTATTTTTACATACTGGTTAAATTTTTTACAATGCTTGCATTACTATTATCATTATCCTAGGTGTCCCACAGCTCAATTGCTAGTGCATTCAGCTCACACACTGAGGTCCAGGGGTCGACTCCCGGTACGGCTGGAAACATCAGGATGTGTTTCCATAAGACACCTGCTGTCCATGTTCACCCATCAGTTAAATGGGTACCTGGGTGTAAGTCAACTGGTGTGGGTCACATCCTGGGACAAAATTGACCTAATTCCCCCAAAATGCTCTGCATAACAAGTGGCCTTCTATATAGTAGGATGTCACTGATGTCAGCTAGGCCTGTATACCTTGTACTTGTATAAATAAAGATATTATTATTATTATTATTATTATCATCATCATCATTATTATTATTATAGCTAAGTGCTACAGCAACAAGGGTCTTACAGCACTCCTATTCCTGGAGTATACCTGGAGAGAGTTCCGGGAGTCAACACCCCCGTGGCCCGGTCTGTGACCAGGCCTCATGGTGGACCAGGGCCTGATCAGCCAGGCTGTTACTGCTAGCCGCACACAGTCCAATGTATGACCCACAGCCCGGCTGGTCAGGTACTGACTTTAGGTGCCTGTCCAGTGCCTGCTTGAAGACAGCCAGGGGTCTATTGGTAATCCCCTTATGTATGCTGCGAGACAGTTGAATAGTCTTGGGCCTCTCACACTTATTGCATTGTCTCTTATCGTGCTAGTGGCACCCCTGCTTTTCACTGGGGGGACGTTGCATCATCTGCCGAGTCTTTTGCTTTCGTAGGGAGTGAATTTCGTGTGCAAGTTTGGTACTAATCCCTCTAGGATTTTCCAGGTGTATATAATCATGTATCTCTCCCACCTGTGTTTTAGGGAATACAGGTTCAGGAACTTCAAGTGTTCCCAGTAATTGAGGTGCTTTATCACAGTTATGAGTGCTGTGAAGGTTCTCTGTACATTTTCTAGGTCAGCAATTTAACCTGCCTTGAAAGGTGCTGTTAGTGTGCAGAAATATTCCAGCCTAGATAGAACGAGCGACCTGAAGTGTCATCATGGGCTTGGCAACCCTGGTTTTGAAGGTTCTCATATCCATCCTGTCACTGTTCTAGCAGATGTAATTGACACAATGTTATGGTCCTTGAAGGTGAGATCCTCTGACATGATCACTCCCAGGTCTTTGACATTAGTTTTTTGCTCTACTGTGTGGTTGGAATTTGTTTTATACTCTGATGAAGTTTTAATTTCCTCACGTTTTCCATATCAGGGTAATTGAAATTTCTCATCAATGAACTTCATACTGTTTTCTGCAGCCCATTGAAAGATTTGGTTGATGTCCGCCTGGAGCCTTGCAACGTCTTCAATGGAGGACACTGCCATGCAAATTCGGGAGTCATCTGCAAAGGAAGACACGGTGCTGTGGCTTATATCCCTGTCTATGACCGATATGAGGATGAGGAACAAGATGGGAGCGAGTACTGTGCCTTGTGGAACAGAGCTTTTCACCATAGCTGCCTCAAACTTTACTCTGTTGACTACTACTCTGTGTTCTATTTGTTAGGAAATTATAGATCCATCTACCAATTTTTCCTGTTATTCCTTATCACACATTTTGTGTGCTATTACACCATGGTTACACTTGTCAAAGGATTTTGCAAAGTATGTTTGTATTTTAGAGCACCAGGACCTTGTTGTAGTGGTCCAGTAGTTGGGACAGACAGGAGCATCCTGCTCTAAACTCATGCTGCTCTGGGTTGTGTAACTGATGGGTATCTAGATGGGTGGTGATCTTGCTTCTTAGAGCCCTTTCAAAGATTTTTATGATATGGGATGTTAGCACTATTGGTCTGTAGTTCTTCGCTATTGCTTTACTGCCCCCTTTGTGGAGTGGGGCTATGTCTGTTGTTTTTAGTAACTGTGGGACAACCCCAGTGTCCATGCTCCCTCTCCACAGGATGTTAAGAGCACGTGATAGGGGCTTCTTGCAGTTCTTGATGAACATGGAGTTCCACGACGGGGCCCGGGGGCAAGTGCTCTGTCATTTTTTCACCTTTTTGAAGTCATTTGGGTCGGAAATATCAAATACGTGTGTCTAAAAAATTTCTGTTCTTTTAAGTTCATTTAGGTTTACTCCGTCGGTTGACTCGATAAAAACTGATCATATGGGATTTTCAGTAGCTCACACTTTTTCCTTGCTTTTTCCCTGTGTAGGACCCACCCCATTTTAAGTAGGGGCCCAAATGGAAGTTATTCTCAATTTTGATTTGGATGGTTTAATGAGAACTTAAAATGGGGATGTAAACCCATGCTCTCTGGGTTTGGGTATTTTTGACACTACGGCCCCCTTTAAGGCTGGCAACTTGCGCCCTGGGAGTGCACAAGAATTTTGAGGGCACAAATAAGTACGAAAAGGCACCTAAATACTAAAAGGTTGGGAAGGTCCCTTATTGTTTTTCCCTCAACACAGGAAAGAGAGATCTGAAAATATACACTTGGAAGGTCCTGGAGTTATTGGCCCCAAACCGCACACAAAAATCACTCTCTATGAAAGCAAAAGACTCAGCGGGGAGATGCAACATTCCCCGTTTAAAAGCAGGGGGTCCCACGGTGCAGAGAACACACAAAAAATGTCCAGGGGGGCCCAGGGCTGTTCAATTTCCCCCCCATAATAAGGGGGGTTAAAATAGATCCTGGGTTCTTCAAGAAGGGCCCGGACAGGGCACCTAAAGTCTACCGCCCCAAACGGCCGTCGTTCGAGTCAGCTTGCTCAGCCCGCGTAACGCCCGGTTGAACAGACCCCGATCCCCCCGAGGCCTGGTCTCAGACTGGGTCGTGAGGGGGATTGACCACCCAAACCCCTCCAGGTAAACTCCAGGTATCCCGGCAAAGAAAAGAAAAACTTTTGGGTTTTTTACAATTTCATTTTCGGCTTTTAGTTCTTTTCCCCATTTCTTGCTCTTGTAAAAATTCCCTTTTTCTTCAGTTTGTGTTTGCTATTTCTTGACAGTGTGTCCCCATGACTGCGATATATTGGCCCCTTGTAGCCGCTCGTTATTTTTTTGCTTTTTATATAGGGAGCGCCTTTCTCTTTTAATTTAATTCCTTTTCCCCTTTAATAATAACCCGAAATTCATTTTTGAAAAAGTTTTTGGGGGGGGTTTTTTAGGGTTTTTTAAAAAGGGAAACAAAAAAAATAAAATGAAAATAGGGTTTTAAAAAAATTAGTGACAATCCACAATGTTTTTAAATTAAAAAAAAAAAAAAAAAAAATTTAAAAAAATTTAAATAGTTTAACCCCAAATTTGTTACTTTTTAGTGGTAAATTCTTGGGGTTTTTGGGGGGGGAAATTTGGGTTTCTTTTCCCCAACATTTATTTTTGATTGGTTTAAAGAATTGGCTTCCCGAGGCCAAAGGGGTTTATTTTCTTTTAAATTTTTTTTCTTAATTTAAACCCTTTTTTTAATTTAAAAAAATGTAAACTTTGATTTTTAGCTTTTATAACCTATTGTAAAAATTTCAAATTAAATAAAAGAAAATAATAATGGAAAACTACAAAAAAAAAAAAAAAAAATAAAAAATAAGGTAACCCAACCTAACGTTAACCAGATTTAGAGGTAAATTCTAGATTAGGTGAAATTGGGTTACGTTTCATAACATTTATTTTTGTATTGCTAAAGAAATAAGTTCTTACCCGAGGCCAAAAGTATAATTGTCTATTACATAACCTACTTAATATCGGAGAATTTACGTAATAAAATGTACGCCCCTTTGAACTCAATATTAGCCTGCATAACAATTATTGGCATATATGTAACATTACTAACAAGAAAATCTGAGTGTTGGCAGCTATTCATAAAAACAAAAGACTGGTAAAAGTTAAAGAATCAACCCAGTTTACTACAATTACATATTAAAAATGTAAAATGTTCCTTTTTTTTATATGATTACATTTAAACACAGTGACAAGAACACTTCTCTGAGCTTTAGACTACTCGCCTAAATCAGCATCACTTGGCCGGTTATAAAACTCCGTCTTCACAGTTACACAAGTGTTGAGAGTAGTTCTAAAAGTCTTCCTGACGATACTTGCAGTGTGCTCGAAGGTTTATGCAACTCCTCATGACCAGGTTATGGTGGCGCACCACAGCTGTTGCTATGGTTATACCTGGTATACCCAGGTAGAGGCTGGGTGTAGGTGTAGGTCACACTGGGATAATAGGAGAGGTCTGGGTGTAGGTCAGGTCAAGATTAAGGATTATACAGGAGCTCAGGAGCCTCTTCTTATTGTCGTCTGTTTGTTTGGTCAGCTGATGGAATGTGCTCAGATGAGCCTCGGGATGCGTACTTACTTATTACTAAGTTAATAAGTAAGTATGCAAGTAAATAAATTTATTTAATTACAGGTACACATAAAATTATCATACGTAGTGTAAGTTACCTAGGATAACCCCCCAAAAAGTCAGACTGCCTTTATTTCCATTGGGTTGTTATTACTTACTAACCGCAACCAAGAAATGGTGAACGGTGATTAAAACCTGTTGACTACGAGTCATTAAGGCAACACCGTAAGTCAAAACATCTTTAATCCCTGAAGATGATATTAGACTCTCAACCTTGATGATTCATGTGCAGGAGATAAGCTTTACACCTAAGAAATTAATAGTCTCACACGAGTAAGATACTTATAATAGCTCCAGCAGTAATAATCCTAAAATAGCCCATTCTTGACTCTGGAGCAAGTCAGTGTAAAATGTAAACATCAGCCTATATATACCTATATTAATATATATATATATATATATTATAATATATATATATATATATTAATATATTATATATATATATATATATATATATATAATATATAGGCTCAGAGTGAGGTGTGATACTAGTGGCAGTAGTAAGAACATAGGAACATAAGAATGTAGGAACACTGCAGAAGGCCTACTGGCCCATACGAGGCAGGTCCTTTATCATGTGGGAGTTCGAACACGTGGATTGGTAAGTAATACTCACGTAGGCTGGTAGTACGTATAATACAGATAATTGGGAGAGCCCTTACAGCCGTAACCTTGTTCCTTGCTCCTCTCGAACACTGCTGGC